AACACAAGAGGCTCAAATCCCAATCCTTGTTCCTGGCATCTCATAACCGTCTGACGATCCCTTCGTTTTCTTTCAGCCTGCATTTTGGCCATCGCCAATGTTTCGGTCCCACTGACTTATTGTTTGAAAGAGGAAACAACAGAGATATCCAAGGCCAAGCGCGGCAGTAGTCCCCACGTCGATTGTCTATACAAAACAGTAGGAAGAGTCACCACATCTGCGGGCCATTGCCCTGGCAAATCTGGTAAAAGACCTACAAGTTCCAATTTACACCGGAGGCCACCAATATGGAGAGTACGATAGATCTCATCTCGAATCATATTGCGGAGTTGAGTTTTACCCCCTACCATATGACACGTCAAAGTGTGATGTCCAAATACATCCTGACTCTGTGGGCAACGTAGACAATCCATCTCAACCTGAAAAACCGCTTTCCCAAGCCGCATAGAAATAATATCGATGAATGCAGCATTAGACAAGCAAATATCAAGCATTAGACAAGCAAATATCAAAGGCGTGATTAGGACTAACTCGAACCCACCCCTCGGCCCAAGGTGCCGAGAAAGCAAGCAAAACCCTACGTTAAACATCAGAAAGGGCGCCCTCCAACATCGCTCGAGATGATTCAATAGCAACGGCAAACATTTCCTTCTGTTTGAGCCTAGAATCGGGGTCGCGCATATCATCTCTCCATTGGGGAAAAAGAATCTCCAAACGCTCGACTGCCGGCGACCACCCAATCTTTAAATGCTCCAGAATAGGTGGGACCAATTCATCAACAATTCTGCGGGATGCTTTACACATAACAACAAAAGCAATATCAACTCTTCCAAAGACTTGATCCTTCAAAGAAAAGTCCTGAAGCGACCCACGGAATGAGATAAAAAAGAGAAAATAAGAATGGGGCAGAAGGCGGGGATGGGGTAGAGAAGTAAATAGAAAGAGAGAATAAAGAGAGCAGAGATAATAAAATACGATGAAATAAAAATATAAATTATAAGTATGCAGATATGATATAAACGGCCGTCATTTCCATACATCAAGAACAAAGAAAACAAAAGAGCGAGAATTATATCAATACAAACAAAAACAACGTATATTTAAAGCTAAAGAATTCAGGAAACTAAGAATATAATTAAGGCAAATAATTTAAATAGAGCCCTCAAAATACTTCCTTTAATATTCTAGAGAAATTAATATGCTTTCTTTTATTTTTGGAGATCTTCATTATATCTCGTCGATTATATTGTTACAACAAAAATAAGTGAAATTCATCGCCCAAGCAGCATATACGCCCAAGCAAAGAGAAAAGATTCTGGGGCTGGGCACTCTGGGGTCTTTTTTTATAGACAATTTGATGCGTAGAAGTGATTCATGTGCCCGAAAGTACTAAGATTTCTAGAGTGCTTGTGAAAATGATTAGGTCGTCAAATACCACGAATATTATTATGTGCCCGCCACTACTCTCAATTGAACCCATGGGCATAGAATCGCGTTGGAAGATAGAGACATTAGACGACCTAAGTGAGACTAAGAAATTCTATCAATGTGTACATAGTAGCTACATGCATGGTCAGGGTTCATCTGGACCGATCTGCTATTCCCATTCTCTCGCAGCGTCTCGGGTATAATATTAGACGCTACAGGTAGAGCCCAGAGCCTTAACACCCGAAACCGTAAATCCTCAAGCCCTAATTCTCTGAGCCTTTGGGGGAGTCGGCCTTATGATAAGGAACGTTTGGGGTCTATGGGATAACCCTAAGACCATCCCAAACCCCAAATCAGGGCTTCAAGGGGGGGTTTAGGTCCCGAACTCAGGGCTTACGACGCCGGACACCATTGACATCGCACCCTTAAACTTCTAGTAACCCTTGCAGGGTGCAGGTAGTCCCCAAGGTGTGGGAGCGGGGGAATAAACCCTACAGCCCAAAGCCGGGACACTCTCCACAGCAGAGAGAGGTTGGCGACCTCCGCTTTGGCTCGGCGCTGGTGTCGTCGACTGCGCCTTTCATTCCCATCCCCACGCTGCTTGAAGCAGAAGTCTGCAACAGTCATTTGGGCTCCACCCCCCCATCCCGCCGTCATGGCCCCACCCCCGCCACCCCCTCGTTCCCACGCAAGCAGCAGTAGCACTAGAAGTATTTTACAAGGCTCCACTCCCCCACAGCCCGCCACCTTCCCACCCCACCACCCGTGAGCCTGGATCATATTGGACCTGCCCTCTGATTATGCCTGTAAATTTTGGTCGTCTGTTGTGGGACATAGGATCCCCGACCCCTGGTAAGAGCTCCTGCTAGAGAATTTTGCTCTGCAGCGCAGTTGGAGCTGTACACGCAGGAGGCTTGGCAGAAACATGGGAACATGCCCTTCCCAGAGACTTCTTCGCGTGGTTGTTTGGAAGCTGTGCCAGCTGTGCTCAACAGCTTTGTCAACGACTCTGACTCATGTCAAGCAAGCTGTCTGAAGTTTACCACACGCACATGCCAACTTCACATGCCTGCAAGCCTCATGAAGTCTCCTGTCGGAATCTAGATTAAATCAGAAGTGCCGCTCCAAAGACGGATCCATTTTGAAAGCTCGTCTGTACAAATCGCAGGCCAAGGTAAGAGATCCTGCTAGTTCTGCAGCCTCGGCCTCCCGGACAATCCGGAGAGCTTCCTCTTGCCTCTCAGTGAGTTGAGCACCTGTTCCAGGCTTCCGGCGGAACATCACCTCGGTCCTGAGGATATGCTTGACACCGCCATGCACGTCCTCACCTTCATGCATTAAACCTGGCTGGAAAAAGAGCAGGCACATGCCTCTTCTTGGCTCCACTGATGCTAAGATGTCACCTTCTTGACTTCTCTTGCCATCGAGGACTGCATCCTGCTTGAGAAACTTTGTGGCCCCACCCTCCATACTCGAATCCAGGTAGAACATGCATGTGAAAAGTGACATCTCCTCCTGGTTGCGCATGTAGATCCCATCGCAATGCGGCCGGAAGAAGCCACCAGGCCTGTAGCGGCACAACCTGAGGCGCTCATTCAAACCAATGGGCTCCCAAATTCCATGGCAACCGACAGGGGCCTGCAAGGCTCGGGGGCAGAGCCTGTCCCCTTGAGTTGTGTCAGAAAGAAGGCGCTGTCGCGAGCATTCATGGCCATCTCCATCGATGTGGATTGCCAGATGACTTGCAGTGGGTTGCACACGCTTCCACAACAGGAGGGCAAGTTCCTCGGATGCGAAGATGACCCGGTCATTCTTACGATAGTCTTGCTGGTAGGCAACAGCCTCCATCATGTCATCCGTGGCCATGGAGCTGATGAGGACCTGGCATTCTTCCTCAGAGAGCACATTGTACAACACCAAGCAGCGACCCCCGAAGCACCCATAGAGACTATCGACGGGTTCAATCGCTTGAACGTCCAGCTGCTCCGGGTCAAAGTGGTCAAAGGCATCCAGTGGCGCTGCCAGGGGTGGCAGTCCTTGGAGGGTTCCTATGTCATTGACCTCTTCAACTCCCTGTCCAAGATCTGGCACCAGTCCCTCCTCCCGCTGTTGCACTTCCATCTGCAGCTCTCTACCTCTACCTGAGATTGCCTGACTGCCAAAAACATCGGGCAGGTTGCACAAACTTCACGAACAGTCGAGCAACATGTGCCCTCAGATCTTTGCTCTAGCCTCAATAGTTACTTCATATACATGCAGCCTTGCCTATGTTCGTGCAGAACGCGTAGGCCTCTATGCCTAACGAGGAAGGCCTCAGAGGCACTCCAGGGAAGCATGCGCAAGCCAAGCCTCAATACTTATTGGGTGGCTCGATTTGCCATCTCCAACTTCTGTCCCTGCTACGCCTTCAACCCATGGCCCTCCCGCGCACCTCCAAACCACCCGCAGCGCACGAAAACCAAAGCATCCTGAGAATCCCTAAGCACGAAGCGCAGCGCACGCCTCACCCCGCGACTTTCGCGCCCTGCGAGCGCCCTCTCTCCAAGCCATTGGAGGCCTCAGCTGCAGAAGCTTGGGGGATCGGAGAGCGAATTCCACGGAGTTTCCTGTCCTCCCCCAGAACGCAGCATTTTCAGCATGTCATGTTCATGTGAAGGTCTGTCCTGGGATTTGCAGTGGCCTTTGGCCCTGTCAGCCGCAGCAGCCTGGGAGAGCGCAGGTAGGACCAGGTAGGATTGGAAATGTTGGCAGCTGCGGAAGTGCTGAGTGTCCCTCCACATGTCCGCGCTTCTCAACCGCATGACTTTGAGGCTTCTTTTGACTTGTCCAGCTGCAAGCCACGACAGTTAGCCTCTGCACACAGCCGTGGTAAACAGAATTTCTCCTGAAGTTTCCACGCGCTTGCTTGCAGGGATATGTCAAAACTGTATGAGGATTCCCCTTCAGGGTCTCGTGTGTACAAAACAACTTCCTGAACGGTACACAAGCCGGCTACCTTGGCCGGTTACATTCCTCCCCAAGCTTGGTGGCCAACCTGCCCAAACTGCACATCCCGATGCTCCTTCTGTGCCTCCGGAGACGTGTCGGTGTAGCGAGGCCCATCTCGCGCCTTGTCAAAGTTGACCACGAGGTGGGCAAAGCCCTGTTTATACTCATCCCAATCCATCCAGAAGACTCCATTGTCCTTGATCCCTACTTTGTGTTCGCACGCCTTCATGGCCTCGGGGAACTTGTTCCAGGTCTCCCAGTCGTCATCATGGAAGCGGCCGAACCACTCGTTGGTCCTGTGCGGGTTGCGGACGTGCAGCATCCTGAGCGTGTGGGACTTGCCCTCACGGGTGTATGGCACCTCCAGCATCCTCAGCAGCGTGTAGGCATGGTTCGCCAAAATGCCTCAGAAGTGACAAGAAAGACTGACCAGCAACAATCAGCATCTGCACAAGATGATCTCTCCAACCGCAACAAAAAGCAAGTCTAAACGCGAGTCTAAGGAGGCAAGATGCCCTTGTAGGCTTGGCGTGAGTCACAAGCCATGCTGTGCCCTTCTGAACTCCAAGACATCAGCCTGGACCAGAGCCAGTTGTCGCTGAGCTCCGTCTGGCCCTCACACATGACGGAAGCATCTTGGGTCCAGTAGTCCCAGGCTCCATCATAACTCTCAAGTCGCATGTATACTGTGGCATGGCTGGCTGAAGCCTGGTCCTTACCGCAAAGGATGGTGTACGGCGCATGCGTGCCGCCTACAAAGGGGCTGAGACTGACGCAGAGTGACGGCTTGCCCGTCAGCATCTCCAATGCGACAGACTCCCAACCGCCATCAATCCTATGATAGGACTTGACAAACTTTGAGACTGCCTTCTCTAGCAGACACGTCCAGAACTCATTTTCCTTCGTGGGCTTGGCGAAGACCAGATTTCCGTGCTTTCCTGCTCTCTTCCAGAAGGGTAGGCGATCGTCAATTGTGACCACCTTCCACTCCTCAGACTTGGGATCGTAAAGGCGCACGTCGTAGCGGCCATCTTCTGTGAGGGTGTTCTGCTTGAAGAGAGATCGCAGTCGATCCGGGTACTCGGCAATGGCGGCAAAGGATGCGACGAGCCAGCAATCCCCCAAGTAGCCTTGCTCAATGTCTCTTGGAGAGACATTCTTGAAGAGGCAAGGCTCACCCTCCGTGGCAAAGAGCCGGTAGTCTCCTGCTTCCTTGCCGATCATCTGCCGCGGTCTCGCCCAGCCAGGCACAATGAGCTTCATGGCCTCCTGCAAGTAATCTGAGACAAGGGGGTTGGCCGCATCGCCCGTCACTGCACCGATACTGGCATTGGAGGCAGGGAAATCCGCATCTTCGTACAGGCTGACCGCTTTGGGTGGGCTGGAAACAGCTCTGGGCTGGAAGTCGTGCTCCGGAGGTGGCACTGCCGGCGTCGGGCGAGGGACCAGCCTTACACAACAAAAGGCTCAGGTTAAAAAGGACCCAAGAGAAAAACCTTGCCCAAACAGACTTGCTGATTCAACTTCAAGCCACTTCCTCATGTGCATGCGGTTGGGCCCCTGTTTGACAACAACCTCTTCTTCAGTGGCGTCCTTCAACTTTTCGGGCTTGGCCGCTTCCGGCTCTTTTGCCACCACGGCTTCGCCTAGCAAAAACAAAGGCGAAGCAAGAAACAAGCTCTTTTGCTCTCAGGTCTCAGTGTATCTCAATGTTACCATGTCATTGCACAAATGCTCCCCTCAAGCCTGGGGGAATAGCCTGGGTGCTTTCCTTGCCGCTGCAGGTCCCCATCCTCTCTGGAACGTGAGATGTCAGCAGCTAGGAACACGCCTTTCCCGGCTTTTTGCCCGTGCTAGAAAGCTGCGGACAAAGCAAGAAATCGACCACTACTGTTTCACATGCCTGAGCTCAACCTCCATCACACAAGTAAACCCTCGCAGAGTCCACGTGCTTCAACTAGAAGTGCTAGAATGACTCCTCCTCTTACCTTCAAGGCGTATTCTGGGAATGTGCCCGGTATCAAATGCAAGGATCCTTAGGCCCGACAAGAGACCAACAGCTTTACAATGTCTTTGCCCTTCCATGAGCCCCAGAAAGCCGTACGACACTCACAATCTACCGCGCCATGCTGGGCCAGGTTGTCCCAGTTCGTGATGCGGTGGCTGATCAGTGGAGCTGGAGCAGCTCTGCTTACACTTGTTGTAAAGAGAACCGACCACCAACAACCTATGCAATGCTCCCCGAAAGGCCACATGATCTTGGGTTCGGGTACACAAGGGATGCATTCAGCTTTGCCTGCTGTGCGCACTTCCAGGCTCAGGCACGGACGCTGATCGCTGATGCCGACGCGCAGCTCTTGCGCGTTGAACGCCGGCATGAGAAAATGTCACCTTCCAACGTAGACCTGGGGCTAACTACTTCAGAGCAGGATGCTTTCGGGACGTAGGGGGGGCAATTCTCAGATGACAAGGGGGATGAAGGGATCCCTTTTCAGGGTTGTGAGAAACTCCCATAGGCTCGCACACGGCAGCGTGGCACTTTAGACGCTCGAGCAGACCACATGGCTTTTGGTGACAAACGCCACCCCCCACTGCTCCCTGAAATTGAAAAAAAGGAGAGCAGGTTTTGTTCTGAGTGCTCTTGTTTTATGTTGGCGCACAGCGAGTGCTCTCGCTTTGACGTTTTCTTCTGGGTGAACAAAAAGGAGAGTGAGGGGGAGCCTCAAAAACTCCTGAACTTGCTTTAGGCAGAGAAGGTTTTTGGGAGTGGTGCTGAAGCCGGTGGAAGCCAGAAGAAAAGAAGAGAAGAAATGGATGAGTAAATGGATGAACTGGGCTCTGCACCAGGCGGAGATTCCTTGCTACTCCCAGGGGTTTCGGGTTTAAGGTTACAAGGGTTGAAGCCAAAATTGTGGCCCCTGGAATGGAAACCTCATCGATGTCGTTGTGTCACAGTTGCACGACAGACAAGCGAGAGTCATGCTTGGATTCGCGTCGCTGCGCTTTCAACAAATAGTCAGAGAACCGGAAAATTGCGGAAATGGGAAGGAACGGATCGCAGCCGTCCGGAGCCATCTACCTGCATTCTTCCTGCATGCTTGTTGTTGGCCATCTATGCCAGCCGCCAATTGAGTAGTGAGCGAAAAGCGTCGGACACGATGAGGCAGGCTCAGTGGTTGTCAGTCACAACCTCCCTTCCAAAACACTAAACTCAATGGGCACTTGAGAGCCTTTGCTGGCGTCTGGGTTTTCAAGGCTTGTATTGAAAAAAGAGCCGTTTCTGGGGAGCCTCCCCAAGCGAACTCCAAACCGTGCTCCAAGTGCAGGTCTCGGGCCCGCGCAGGACTTGCTTGCAGGCTGCACCTGGCTTTGAAGGGGCACTTGAGGTTTCAGGAACCACCTTTGGCATTTGCACTCGATTAGAAAAGATGATGTGTAAAGGGGCGAACTGACGAATCTTGCTTCTGAAATAGTGGAATAAAATTTCGTCGGCCAGAAACAGGTCAGACGCTCAGAATAAAACCGCCCGTAGATACCAGACTAACCCAACAATTAATTAATTCATGTTCTGAAATATGCTAGACAAACGCTGTCGCAAAACAGACTTTTCTGTTAGAAGCCTTTGTCCTGAGGCCCGAGAGGCCTAGCAGCAATAGATCAGTGCCTACGCTGCAGCATGCCCATTCTCTGAAAGCAACTTGGCATCGCCAATATTGCTTTGTCCGCAGATGCCCACCAGCGCCGTTCTAGGCCCAGGTTCTAGCCTCATTCTTCTCGTCAGCCTCGCTTAGCAAACTCACGGCTTCAGCATGACCTTGCCTCGCTGCGAGCATCAGCGGCGTGTGGTTGTCCGAGTCAACCAAAGTCATGTCTGCACGGGCTCTGAGCAACAGCCGCACGATTTCAACATGACCGTGATGTGCTGCCAGCATGAGTGCTGTGCTCCTCTCGCTGTCTGCTAGGTCTTTCTCCGCACCAGCTTGCAGCAGCAAATCTGCAATCTCCACATTGCCATGGTAGGATGCCCATACGAGCGCTGTGTTGCGGTCATTGTCCACGAAATTGACGTCTGCATTGGCGTCTAGTAGCATTTGCACGGTCTGAGCATGACCGTAGTAGGCTGCGCACATGAGAGCTGTGCTGCCTTCGGAATCCACCAAATTCTTGTCTGCACCAGCCTCCAAGAGCAGTCCCACAACAGCAACACAACCCGCAGACGCTGCGATAAGCAGGGCTGTGTTGCTGCCACCATTCAGTAGGTCCTTGTCTGCACCGGCGTGGAGCAACAACTTCGCTACGCGAGCATGACCCTTGCCTGCTGCAAGAATCAGTGCTGTGTTGCCATCGATGTCAACCAAATCTGTGCTTGCACATGCCTCCAACAGAAATTGCACGGTGTCAACATGGTCGTGGTACGTCGCCCAAAGCAAGGCGCTACTGCCTTCATTGTCAACAAGATCAATGCTTGCCGCCGCCTCCAACAACAACTGCACAACTTCGCCGTGTCCCCGGTAAGCCGCCCAGATGAGAGGTGTGTTTCCAGCATCGTCTCGCAAGTCAAAGTCCGCACCAGCGTTTACCAGCAGGTCTATATTGCCGCCATCGTCTTTTGCATCCTTCTTCGCACCGGACTCCACTAGCAAACGTGCAACACGAACCCAGCCTCCATGTGATGCACACATAAGCCTTAGCTAGCTGTGCAGCGAGAGAGCACTCTCGGGTTTCTCAAAAGTTTGACGGTAGACCCGGTAGCTACATCAGTTAAAGCCTCTAAACCTTAAGTGGCGTGACTTCGTGGGGATGAAAGGAAGGAAAGCCAAGAATCGCCGTGCGGCCCTGGCTGTCACAGTTCTTTGTTGGCAGAGCCCACCTCCATCATCCAGAGAGCAATCTCATGGTAACCGTGGGTTGCTGCAAAGAGTAAGGCTGCGTCAGGGCCGCCTCTCAGAGTTCCTTCATCAGCGCCGGCTTCCAGCAGCAAGCGCTGGATGTCGATCCTCGTCTTCAGCAGATGTGCGACTCCAGCCTTAGCTGCATGAGCCAAAGCTGTGAGGCCGCAGTTGTCTGCCAAGCCTGTGTCTGCTTCGGCTTCTAATAACAGCTGCATAGTCGCAGCATGGCCATGAGCCGACGCGCACATCAGGGCGCTTCTCCCTTCCTGCTCGACCATGTCCACTCCTCCACGGGCTTCCAGAAGCAAGCGTGCAACATCCACGTGGCCTCTGCGCGCTGCTGCAATGAGAGGTGTGGCTTTGTCCTTCTCAGCTAGATTGAAATCTGCATTGGCTTCCAACAGCAGCTGTACGATTCTCACGTGCCCCTGGCGTGCCGCGAGCATGAGGGCTGTGCAGCCTTCGTTGTCAGTTAAATCCTTCTCTGCACCGGCTTGCAGCAGCGTATCTGAAATTTCAACATGGCCAGGGCAGGATGCCAACATGAGCGCGGTGGTGCCCTTCGTGCTCGCGCAGTTTGGGTCTGCGCCAGCCCTCAGTAACAAGCGCACCGCTTCGATCTCGCCCTTGCTGCACGCTATCATCAAAGCTGTGTGGTCGTTGCTGTCAACCATGTCCGAATCTGCGCCATTCTCTACCAGGAGTTGCACGATCTCAACATGGCCCTTTGAACATGCCAAAATGAGGGCTGTGTTGCCAGCATAGTTTGCAACATCTTTGTCTGCACCTGCCCGCACCAACAAACTTGCAATCGGCGCATGGCCGCGCCGTGCTGCAAGCATTAGCGCTGTACTGCCATGGCTGTCGGGCGAGTCCTTGTTGGCACCCGCCTCTGACAGCAAAGATACGATTTCATCATGTCCCTCGGAGGATGCGACGAGCAGAGCCGTGTCTCCACCATGATTTTCAATGCCTGTATCTGCATTGGCGCCAAGGAGCAATCGTACAATGTCCACCCAGCCCTCATATGACGCCAGCAGAAGCGCTGTGCTGCCTCGACCGTCACACATGTCTACATCGAAGTCCGCCCTGACATTGAAAAACTGACGGGCAACATCAACATGGTTCCGGCTACATGCCCAAATAAACGCTGTATTGCCAAACTTATCCACCACTCTGGCGTCCGCGGAAGCTTCCAATAGCAACTGCACAATGTCATCATTTCCATAGTATGATGCGCAAATTAGCGCGCTGCTGCCTTCATTGTCCACAGTATCTTTTGCTACTCCGGCCGCCAGTAGCAAGCGCACGGCATCAACGCTGCCCTCACTTGATGCGTTCAGAAGTGCTGTACTGCCGTTGTCGACAAGCTCCAGGTTTGCTGTGGCCTCAGCAATTCTACAATACCAACACGACCCTCTGAGCAGGCTATCATGAGAGCACTGTTGCCGTCGGAGTCGACCACGTCTTTTCTTGCACCGGCAGCCACGAGCAGGCGCGCGATCTCGGTGTTCTCCAAGAAGGAGGCACAAAGCAGAGCCGTGAATCCGTCATTATTTCTCGTGTCCAAGTCTGCCCTGGCCTCCAACAGCAAGCGCACGATGTCAGCATGACCTTCGCCGCAATGATGAGGGCAGTGTTGCCTCTGTCACTGCTGACCAGGCTGGGATGCCTTCTGAGAGCAGGGCCTCAACTTCAGCTGCCAAGCCGCGAAAGGCTAAGTCGGCAAGCTTATCTGCTTGAGCTAAGGATGCCGCAACTGGCAGCAGGACGAGCTGCACGTCCATGGGCAAAAACTCTTCAGCATCCTCCAGCACGCAGCCCTGATGCAGGATTCTCTGCCGGAATCGCGGTGCGAAGCCACGCTCGTGCAAGCGCTGTTTCAATGTCCTGACGTTGC